GATGGCAAATTCATCCCTATAGGAACACAACTGCACCAAGAGGACCCATTCCCAAGGCTCTCTGACAAGCCTGGGCTGAGCAAACCAATATCTTTACCCATTCAAAGAACAAATATAATGAATGCTGCTCTGGGCTGAATCAGTTCTACCCGAAGTGGCCTCTCCCCAGAGCCTCCTTTTGCTCTGCACAACATTTCCTTCCTTTGCTTCCACCCTTTCCCCTCCCCAGTGCATCCTGCACTCACACCTTCATTTCAGCTGCAATCCTCCCAGTTGGGTTTGGGGGGCTGTGAGAGCCAAGCCCTGTTCTAACAACCAGCATCCCACTAACGAGTGCTCTCAAATCAGACTGCCAGCACCTGGGAGGAGTGATTGCACAGAAATAAATCTCCAATTCGCTTTAATAGCTCCAAATTGAAAGTTGCCAGAGGCTAATTATAGCAGCTCTGACAGTTTGAGGATTAAAATTATCTTAATAGTTTAACAGTATAAACACTGACTCATGGCACTGGCAGCCTCCTGAGCAGCACACTCACCTGCACCCCAGAGGTAGTTTTCTTGGCTGTGGGTTGGCCAAGGGATAGGGGAATCTGCATGAGAGGGATATGGCTTGGCTCTAGGGTGGCTTTTTCAGGGATATTTGCCTGCCTATATTTACTTCTGTACCCATTAGTTTATATGCATTAGATATTTGTTTATAGGCCACCCTTTTCTCCCTCAAATTGGAAACACCTGGGTCATCTCAGCTGCTGGGCTGGCAGACTGTGTCCTCTTTTCCACTAGCCTCATTTCACTGCTTTCCACACCAAATAAGCTATTGTGACCTAAATTACAAGGGTTTTTTGGGGGGGGTTGTGCTCTATGCAAAAGCCATCCACGCATCCAACAGTTTTCTCCTAAGGTGACACATCTTGTGATTGAGTGGGGGCGGGAGTTCTGGGGAGCATAGCAAAGAAAAAGGCATTGAAAAGGAAAAGTGGAGCTCCAGCCCTCAGCAGGCAGGCAGGAAGGGGGCTGCTGAGTGAAGGAATGTGTGCTCTGAAAACCTGGGACAGGAGCCAGGAGGTGCGGCAGGAGTATAGGGAATGGCAAAAGGGACTCCTCATATCAGACCAGGACAGAGAGATGGGTGACATTTTAAGCTGTGAAATGTCTTCTTGCCTTTACATTTATTTATTTGCACGTATACAATGAATGTGCCCCAGAAAAATCTCCAAGGCCAAAAAAACATCAAAATTCAGAAGGGTAAGATAGAGATGCAAGCATACCCAGGTCTACAAGCATGTCAGTCCCAGAATCCATGTCTGGTTTGAACTGATGCAAATCACTTCACTTTTTGGTGCCTCCTTATTTCATGAATAGGAGCAGGGACTCCTTCCACCCCTTTTTCCTCTTTCCTACTTAGTGCCTGCCCTGCAACGCCCACTGCCCTATTTCCTGCCACAGGGACCAGTTCCCTCCAGCCCCGGGCACTTCTGAGATCCTACTGCTCTACTGTGACATGGGACCACCATGAGCAGCAGAAGCAGTGGAAGGAAGCTAAAGGAGAAGTTACCTGAATCTTACCAAGTATGTCAAGCTCTGACTCATCTTTTAGATATATTCGCTGTGATTGCTGCTCATCTGTGCAAGAAAACTCAGCCAGACCACCACAAGGAGCTACAGAAGTCCTCCCCTCTAAATGAGGAGAGGATGCCACTGGGCTACAGGCTGCTGGATGGACTTGGCCATGAGGTCCCAGTGGTCAGCTGCCTCCCTTGCCATGTTCCTACCCACAGTGGCCTGCCCGATGAGGTGCCTGGGCTCAGGGCCCACTTCATAAAGGGAGACGAGCACAGAGCTGTCCCACGCTGCAGCTTGGGGCATGGGGAACAGAAAGGTCTCATTGAAAATGATGAGTGGAGTGTGTGCCTGCGGCCTGGATTTCTGGTGCTTCTGCCTGTGGCGTCTGCAGGAAACATCTATTCTTGCGTATATGCCTGCAACAGGGGAAGACAAAAGGGTAAAGAAGTTGTATTCTAATAGGTGGTAGGACTAAGGGGACCCTCACTATCCCACCATGGTGGAGTCCCATTGCCCAAGGACTTCCTATGAGAAGACTCTGCAGCTGTGAAACATCAAACATGGCGTTATAGAAACTAAAAGTGGCTCTACTTCAGCCTTCTCAGGGCAAGGAGCTGTTTACAACTTATCTATGATGCAGAGCATCTCTAAGGCTGCTCTCAGGTGTCTATGGCCTCAAAGGGCAGTCTCCTCCATGGAGATGGAAGGCTGATAGCAGAGCTCTGGTTACAGCCCCAGGGAGTGTGGCATCACCTCTGCACTGCCCCCACCCAGGTTGTCCTCCAGAGGAAAAGCAAATTGGCTTTGCACTGAGGGCAGCAGCCCTGTGATGAGGTCCGGTGTTTGGGTCTCTGCAGAGCAGAGGAATGGGATTCATGGGTGACAGCTGGAGGTTTTGTTAGTGTGATGGCCCAATGACATTCAGCAGTGCTTTTCTGCCAAGACTGGAGTGTGAGGGCCATGAGAAAGACCTTCCCCCCCCCAGCACCCCATAACCATTTGTGTGGGTGAGCCCAAGGCAGCAACAGGTAGAGAGGAGCAGCCAGCCCAGACAACAGGGGCACAAAACCCTTACTCTTTTCTGCAGCACTGCAAGGGGGGTAGGTTTTTGCCTTCAGCAGCCCAACCTCCATCCTTTGGGATATGGGCAGGCACCTCAGAGACAGCAGCACCTCTCCCACGACGTCCTGCAGAGGACAGGGGGCATGCAATCAGCAGGTGGCTGGGCAGCCCTCCCAGCTACTACCCACACCACACAGACTCCAGGGTACAAGGCAGGAGTTGTTACTTAAGTGAAGGGATGGCTGTCACAGTGCACAGTCCCTCAAGCCACTGTAAGGGAGCACAGGATAAAGTCATGCATTACCTTTGTGGCCTTCTGCAGTTCTGCACAAAAAAACAAGTTCTGGGAAGCCTTTAGCTGGCTCAGGGCAACCCTGACTTCCCCTAGTGTGGCATTCCTGGAGTATTTGTCAAAATGTTGGACCTATGGGAGAGAGGCAAAAAGCACATCCATGGGGCAAGGTGCAGGACAGGGCTGTGTCTCGAGAGCATCCCTATGGACCATACATCCCCCAGGGGCAGCTGCCTGCTCTCAAGGCCTGCTCCCATTGCATCTCTTGGCTTTTGGGATTTGAGCAACAGGGAAAGGTTAGGCTAGGGGCTAGGAAAAGATTGTTCACCAGAGGGTGGTGGGCCTGGAGCAGGCTCCTCAGGGCAGCAGGCATGGCCCCAAGCTGCCGGAGTTCAAGAGGCATTGGGAAAACGCTCTCAGACATAGGGTTTGGGTTCTTATTGGTCCTGTGTGAAGCCAGGACTTGGACTCAATGGTTCCTGTGGGTCCCTTTCAACTTGGGATATTCTATGAGCTTGGTTCTTCTCCTGTTGCCAACATCTCAGCAGTTCATGGCCATTCAAGAGGACCTGGTGAGTGAGCCCAGAACTACCCACCTGCCTTGTGTTCCCCCAAAGGGGCAAGAGATGGGAACACTTCAAGAGTGGCGAGGGCAGTGTTCTGTGTCTACGAGCAAAGCTAGGACCCCATCCCACCTCCATCTTCAGGGTGCTCCTCTCCATCTCAGCATCCTGCAGGGAGCAGACAAAGTGCTCCCCAAAGGTCGTCCCATTGCAGTTCTTCACCGCCCGGCTCTGCCACTCCTGGACCACACACTGGAGCCCAGGGATGTGGGATGGGACCCGCCGCAGCAGTCGGAGCCAGACTGCCACCTCAGTGTGCCTGCGGCTGGGCAGGCCCCGCACCTCCAGGCCGCTCACCAGCAACTCGCATTGCTCCTTGTGGTACAGGAGGGAGAACTTCAGACTGCCCTGGGAGATGGGCAGGGGGCTCGGGTCACTGCTTGGGTCTTCATTGATGCTGCAGGAGAGGCAGGGATGGGGTGCCTCCAGTCCTGCTCCCAGTTCTGCCATCTATGGAAAAGAGTGAGAGGAAAGGAGACAGTCTTAAAACATGGCAAGCTGAATTGTCCTCCTTTTCCTACAGTGGCAGGAAGGAGTGTTGGCAGTGGTTGGCAAGCTGGCCCATGGCATGGGGGTTGGAACTAGATGATCCTTGAGGTCCCTTTCAACCTAAGCCATTCTGTGATCCTGCAGTGCCCTTGCCCTTTCAGCCTTCTTCCCCTCTTGCTTCACTGTTCTCTCAGCAGCTGCAGCCCCCCAGCAGCCGGTTCGAGCTCAGCAGCTGCTGGTGGTATTTTGGGGCCGTCGTTGAGTCCACTGCCTGCCTTATGGCTTCCTGCACTGCTCTGGGGAGGGCAGCAGGAACTCGAGGAATTTGCGTTATGGGAAACCACATCCCTCCAGTAATAGACATGGGGTGGAATTAGGGGGGAAGGGAAAGGAGAGAAACTTGCCATTGCTCCTGCCCTCAGATTGAACAGATGCTGTATAAAGGAGGAGTAAGTAGAAGTGAAACTTGAGATCGAGTTAGTCATCAGCTTTCCCAAAAATTGCACTGCAGGTTTTTCGCTTCCCCCAGCACTGGACTTCATATGGCTCTCAGCCTTGCCCAGCACTGATGTACATGCCTCCATATCCACGTCACTCTGCTGGCTGCTGTCAAGCAGAAGAGGCGGCATCTTCTTCCCCCACAGGCCATTCTGTGCCCTCATCTTCACCCCATCTTCACTGCCGTATTTCTTCTCTGACGGAATAAAGAAAAGCAGTAGGCAATACCCAGCTGGCACAGTGTAGCCACCAGGAAGGGGACAGCCTTGCGATAGGACCTGCTAAGGGCCCACGTTCCCCTCACGGGCAGCACCAGGACAGGGGGGCTGCTCCAGGTTCACACCACCTTCCCAGGAGGAGCCACTCCCCTAGCTGCCCCAGGGTACCTCGACAAGCTGCTTGCCATGGAGTGCCTGTGACAGTCACATAAGTGCTTGGAAGCAGGAAAACCACTGCTCAGTACTTACTTTTCCCAGTCCTGCTGTGTTTTTGAAGCTGGCACATCTGGTAAGCCAGGATGGTCAAGGCCCCCAGGAGCAAGAGGATGGCTAATGCCAGGATCCCATATTTCCAGGTGCTGGAAAAGGGAAGCTGTAAGTTGTACAACCTGAATGTGATGGAGCTGTTCTGCATCTTATCTTCTTCCTCTGGAAGAAAGAAGGAGGCAAAGGGTCAGCATCAGCATTGCCTCCCCACACTGTGAGGCCTGAGCAGAGCGCAGGACAAGGCCTGTATTCAGTCATACACACTGCAGCTCAGGCCCACACACACAGAATTGGTCACTTTGCTAGGTGTGCAGTATTATTTATGCAGGCTTGTGCTCACCAGATCAGCATCATTTCATCGTAGTTCTGCTACTACCACATAGATGGGCATCTGCTGGATTCCATTCCTTTGTCCAAAGCTACTCACAAAGCAGCCTATAGACTTCCAATGGGAAAGGCTATGAGAAACAGGGCACACCTGTGATTTCCCTGCTAGCTTTTTCTCAGCCTGCTGCCTTGCCTCTACATACCTCTACTGCCTCCTACAGCCGCTGTCCTTCTTGCTTACTACCTTCTGACAATTCCTGATAGAAGATACTCAGAAAAAGCATAGGACTAAGCACAAACACCCAGCAAAACTTCACCCCCTTAATATTCCCCCCACAGTATGCAGCTGAGGGATGCTGATAATGATAATCAACAGGTTTCTTTAATTTCCATTAATTTTTCCAGTTGCCTTTATAAGCAGCAGTGGTTTCTACTCTCACTGTATGATCTTCTGCTAAGGAGTATCTCAGCTTTACCTAATGTTACTTATTCCCCCAAGGAACCTCCCAGTTTGGAGAAGAAACAGAAGCTCTATTTTACTTCTAAGAAGATGACAGAGGTCCATCAGGCTACAGCTTTATGCAGCCTTTCATCACTACTTAGCCTGTTTAATCAAAACAAAGACTGAAAGGAGTGATCCTACCAGAATCTTGGAGTAAGTGTCCCTTAAGAGTGTTAGCTCCTACCCAAGGAGCAGGTAGGTATATTTTGGGAGGAACAGGGCTGAGTGTTTCATCCCCCTCAACACCTTTATACCCATTTGCTCTGTCAGAGAATAGACCTTGGTGTTTTATTCTTTCTCTGATTGCTTGAGATGAGATTAAAACATGACTTTTTGCAGAGAGCAAATGCTTTTCCCACTTCTAGCAAATAAAAGTAGCCAAGAGCCAGAGCCCAGCTTTAGACCAGTACCATTTTAATGTATTACTACTGCTTAATACAAAAATCAGTTGAGTGAAAATCCCTCAGTGTGCATGAGTTCCTCAAATCAGAACAGGTTGCTGTTAACACCACGTATTTTCTTCTCTGTATTTTCATTATTGCCTGTATTATCTGTGTTTTCATTGCAGGACCCTGCACAGAGCAATGTGCTGGAGCAGAAGCAACAGCAAAGAACAGGAGGTGGCCCGCAGGAACATCCTTGTGTGAATGAGAGCCAAACCTAAGCCTAAATAAACAGTTCCCTGAAAATGTGAGACTAAGGGAAACATTATAAATCTGCAAAGGAAACTTAACTCTCTGCTAACCTACAGTAAGAAGCTACAGGCTGGCTTAGGTGCAGATCTGAGCATCAAGAGGCATTTGTTGAAAGCAGAGCCTTCAGGAAGATCATATTATGAAGATAACCTTTAGCAGACATTGTTGCTCTAAACCTGGCTGCCAGTCACCTGACTGGTTTTCACTCTTAGCAGTCTGCACCTGAATGAGGAGAATGATGGGCAAGCAGCCATTTAAATAGAGGCAAAAACAAAGCTGAATGTCTCTGTCACCAGCATGCTTCATCCTCCTGGAGCCTGCCTGAACACCACTTCCTCTCACAAGGCCAGATGTCACAGCAAGGCTGGCTATGGCAGACAGCCCCGCTGCTCAGTCCAGCTGTCACCCATTCCTTGATGTGTGAATGACAGCCTGCAGTGGGTCAGGCGCTTCCCTCGTGCCTTGTGTCTGCATCAGTGTGGGTAAGAGGAAACACCTCACTTTCTGCTCCTTCCTGAGCCCCCTAACAGAGGCAGCCCCCAGCAGAAATTGCCTGGCAGGCACAGGGGACGTTGCTGCCTTTTCCCCAGTGCCATCAGGATCCCATTCCCAGCTCCTCCCAGAGGCCTAGCTCCCAAATCCTACCTTCAGAAACAGCTTCAGAGCAGGATCCTGGGAGCTCTCCGAGCTTGCTGCCAGCACACAGCACAGGGTTGCTTTGTTGCACCAGGGAAACAAATTCCCAGGAGCCAATATTGACGAAGCCAGAGCAGAACAGGGTGTACGTGTGGAACAATGTGCTGGCTGGGCTGGTGCCTGGGTAACTTCATCATAGCCACAGAGAGCTGGCAGTTTGGGTGCCTGCCTGGGAAACGTGGCTGTGAGGATCGTGGAAGCCTTTGCACACATCCCTCGAGCTCTCTGTGTGGTCTCAGCTGTGGCAGAGCCCTCCCTGTGAAGCCATGAGCCTAAAGATACATCTAACGGGTGGTTTTAGCACAGTGTGACACCTGGAAGGTGGGAATGGTGCTTTCCTTTAGGAGCAAGAAGACAATGTCAAGCTCCATGGATGATACAGGGCTGAGCATTGAGGAGGAGATGAGGAAGGAGGTGGGACCTTTTGGGGCTCGGTACCCCCATTCCTCTATGTGCTGCTTGGTTTGCTGTCCCTGCACAGCAGGGATGAGTTGAGGCCTCAAACCTGGTGGCAGGAGCTCCAGCAGCAATCAGCAATCCCTTCTGGGCCATCGCAATGCAGCTGAGGAGTGCCTCTGTGCCTGGAGCTGAAGAGCTTCAGTCATTTGCAGCACACAGCTAGCTGAGCACCTCAAGGCAGTGTGGCACAGACAGGAGAACTTCTCATGGAAAAAGGTAAGTGGGGGTGGGGAAAGCTAGCTCTGGAATGTGCTGTCCCAATGCTTGTAAGGTCAAAGTTTCCATTCTCTTCAGCCATGTGGCTATGGATTCCTGTGTACTGTTGATTTACCCTCCAGCTTGGAAGGGGTTATGGTGCATGCAGGGTGGCCTTCCCTCCTCTGCCAGGAGGTTGGCTCCACACAGCCTGAGAACTGCACATTTCTGTGTCCATGCTGGCCAGGAAAGGGTTAGGGGAGGCACTTCTATTATTTCATGTCAATGTGTCTTTTTGCTATTATTAAAAGGGATAAAAAGAGATAAAGTGCTGGGGAGGCTGCAGAGTGAGGTACACAGGGTTATTTGCCCAGCATTGGAAAAGATGACAAAAATAATGATTTTTCTGAGGCAAAGGAAGATTTCAGGCAAAAAGTTACTCCCATTGGACCATCTCAGCAGAGGGCCAGTGGGTTTCAGAGGAGTGTGACATACCTGGGAGGGTCACACCCTGCTGATGACGGCTCCTGGCAGTGTTGTTGGAGCACCATGACCTCCCTGCTCCAGATCACATGCTTTTGAGACTGCAGAGGCTCTCTGCTACTGCCATCTAGAATGCAAAAGAATGTGCTCTGGAGTCAGGTTCTCTGCTACCCAATCTATTTGGTCTCAGGTGCTGTGGCTTTTTAAGCCACTAGTATTTGCTTGGAGAGCTGTGCACTACAGAAGGAGGGTGTAGGGAAGCTTGTTTATACTGCCATGCTGGGCAATGCTGGTTTTGCAGTAGCCTTCAGATGTCTGCTATGAACTGAGAGTTAGACCTGGACTTCTTAATCTTTGTAAGAGAAGAGTGGTGGGGAACAAACCTACCCTGCCATTCATGCCTGCCTGAAGGCATAAGTAAACATCTGGGACACATTTGGGGTTTGTGATGACTGCTACAGGAACTCTGCTCATGTAAATGCTTCCTTTGTAAGAACCACTGTCAGCTTCTTCCAGATCAACGTTTTGCTAAGCCCAAAAAAAGCCAGTTACAAGGTGAACATGTAGGCATAGGCATCACATGACAAAGCCTGCAGGACGCCTTCAAATCATACACCTAGGTGGGATTTGCAAGTGACCAAAACACCAAGCAACAGCTTTAGGGAGGGAGGTGTCAGGAAACAGGATTTAATTTCACATGCTTTTTCTGCAGGGTTAGCACAGTGCAACACCCAGCTTCTCACCTGCATTTTTTTTTAAGCTACTTTTTCTTTCATTGCAGTGTTCTGGGTGTGTGTCAGCTTTGTTTTCCCTTGCAACAAGGTTTGTTAAATTTCTGACTGGGCAAACAGCCTCAGAACTAAGGGCTTTTGAAGGCTTGCAGCCTTCCTAAGGGTTGACATGTCTCCTCCCAATGTGCTTCAGGCCAGGAACATAACCAAAAGCAAACAGTAAGCAAGGTATTAGTAATAGACCAGTTCAGAAGAGATGGGGGTTGGTCATGAGGGAGAAATATACTGATTCAAGCAATGGATTATATCTTATTTTTATAAGTAGGAGAATGAAGCATTTAATTATTTGCAAACAGATTTTAATAAAAACTCCTGTAGAACCACTCTTGCCAGAGCAAACAAATCAAACCATTAAATCTTCCCCCACACTAATAGAAACACACAGCATCTTTTGTTGGTAGGAAAAAATCACTCTTCAAGGGATGCTAATTCTGACTGTAAGCAGCTGAAGAGCCACTCCTTTCTCTCTCCTCCAGCAGCCTGGTCGCCGCTGCTTTTCTAAGAGCTCCTCTAGGGAAAGGCAGCGATGAGCTCGGTTTTAAACTAAAAAGCACACTTGGTTTTTGGAAAGCTCTCCCCAGAGACCTGGCAAAGGTACCCCCCTGCAACAATACAGGAGGTAGTTCTCCCCTTGCCTTTGGAAAGGAGCTTCCTTTAAAGCCTGACTAATATGTTGTGAGGGATTATAGGATTAAAAAGCTCCTAAAGGGTACAGCCCAGCTTCTAGCAGATGCCCGCTTTATTTCAAGGATAGTGATGCTGCAGTGTAAATGTACAAAACGCTTTCACGGGCCTCAGTGTTGGCAGATCCAGCGACACACAAGGTTTATCAGCTACCCGGACCCCCGCTCTGGGAATCCACAAGGCTTTTTTTGGTAAAAGCACAATCTATATTAAATTAATTTAGCTTTATGTAAGAAAAGTTCAGATTAAGAAGAGGATGTTGTTTTGACTTTGCTCTGCAGGCAGCCGTCACTCATGAAATGATCTTCACATCAGGCCTGGCTTCTTCCAGGGCTTTTAGTTCATCATCCACTTCAGGACCCCAGAAAATGTCGTACAGACTGAACCGAAACAAAAAAAGCAAGTTGGGTTAGTGGACATTAAGGTCAGAGAGGGCAGAAAGACACAGATGGCTGTCATGAGAAGACTTAATTAACAGAAGGGGCCCCAGCTAGATTGCAGAGTTCAGTCCAAGTGCCAATAAGGCACCTGCATTGTTCCCTCCCCAGCATCACCATCTCCTCCTTCCTGGGCCTAATGGATCAAAGCAGGTTCAGCCACTACACCCATGACATCTGGGAGGGACAGGGCATGTTTTGCAGCACATAGATGGTGTTCCACCCCCCAGGATCACCCATTTGCCCATAGGAACACAAGCACTGCTCACATCAGCTGCTGCATCTTGCAGCTGGGGT